ATACTAAAATTCATACTTTTTTTTTTAATATAGAGTGCAACAGGAAAATAAAAACTCAGAATTCTATATAGACATAATCCCACTAATTAATGAGCCAACCTGGAGATTTAAGGAAGCCCATTTCATAGTCTGGATTTCACAGGGCACTGACAGGGAGCCTGAAATGTCTTTCCTAGTCCAGAACAGCTGTGTTATTTGAACCTTAGCCAGTTAACACCTGGCTTCTGCACGTACCAAGTGGCAGGGTACCCAATGACCAACAGTAGTCTTTGAAGGATAAGTCGCTCCAAATATATACCGAGATCCTAACCTCCTTCCTACAGGAATATATTTGGTGAATTACCCAGTTTGACAAATAGCTGAGGTACAGAGAAAAATTTGCCACAATGTGAGACCACACACAGACTGAACAACACAGGAGAAATCCTACAACTGAGCTAGACTGAATTAAGATGCATCTGGTTCCCATCATTTAACAGGTGGAGAACTGAGTCTCAGAAGTCAAATGGCTTGACCAAAGTTAAGGCGAGTGAATGGCAACTACAGTGAACTTCAGAACACAGATGTCGTAACCCTCAGTCGAGATTTCTTTCTACTTTAGCTGTACAAAGATTTTTGTTCAACCCGAGCACCCCATGGACAAATAATCTCTCTTAAACCTTAAATACATTTGGCCATTAAGTTCCTAACAGACATTAGAATCTATTAAGCATCTGTTGAGGCACAATCCTGCACTTTCATTTCTGAGCCACTGAGCCCAAGCCCCGGAAAGCAGGAAGCTGTCATAGCCCACTCCAGGTACAGGAAAGGTAAACATCCTCACTTCTCACCGGGCTCCACGGACTGCCTCCGAGGCTACGGGTCCTCTCAGTCGCGTCTCCCCCGTTAACTCCTAGACAAATTCAGCTAAAAAACTGGTCTCCCTTCCCAACCACAGCTGTGCACGAGATGCGGACCACGCTTCCCTCGGTCACATAGAGAGCTAAAGATAGCCGTGTCGCACCTGGGGCAGCGCCTCTGCGGAGCTGCATCTGGCGCCCCGGCCTTGCCCCGCTCTCCGGGGCCCTTCCCGCCAGGGGTCCTCTCCCGCAGGCCCTCCGGGAAGCTCACAAGCCCACGCTCGGGCCCGGCCTGCCTTGCCTGCCCTCACACAGCCTCCCGGCCCCTGCCGCCCATCAAGGGCTGCGCGGCGACCGAGGGGCCTGTCTCGGCCGAGCCCGCACCTACCCGCAGCTGCGCCGCCGCGGCTCCCGCCCGGCCCCGCGCCCTCCGGGGGCCCGCTCGGCTCCTCCGCGCCCGGCCGCCCGCTCCGCCCGGGAGCTCCCAGGGCCGGGGCCGCTGCGCCCGCACTGGGCATGCCCGGGCCGCACGGGGCCGCCGGGAAGTCGGGAGGCGCGGAGGAGCCGCTGGGGCGCAGGGGGCGGGGCCCGGCGGCCGAGTGGGTGGGCGGTGCGGGGCGACGCAGCCTGGGAATTGTAGTCGGATCGGCGACTCCCGGCTCCGCCTGGCGGCCGCGAACGACTCACCACACCTGCTCCCTAACCTCCTGTTTGCCGATCCCTCGTCCTGTTCTCTGCCCTCCCCGGTTTACTCCACAGCGTTGCTTGTCTCTCTCCCCTGTTCCTACTCTTCTGTCACACCCCATTTCTTCTCCTTTCCGCCACCCCTAGCTGTGCTTAGAGCTACTACTGCTAGGGCCACCCATAGAATCAGATTTTTACATCTATTAATAGAAGCTCTTCAGTGCAACCTT